TGGAAAAATTATAAAAAAGAGTAATTACTCGTCACGAGCAATACTTAGTTGGAGGTTATAAAAACATTGGCATTTGTGGTAGCTACCCTTAACATGTGAAAGGTGAAATTTATGCGAGTATGAATAGGGAGTTGAAAGAGTAAATTATTGAAATGACCTAAAATGGTAGGGATGGAGGAGATGATTTTGATAGGATGGTGATACGTTTGGACCGGTCCAGCCGGCCAAACTTGTGAGGGCCGGCTCTTGCAATGCAACAGGTGCAAGCCTGCTGATCAGCAGGCTTCCAATCCCGCCCCCCCTTGGACTGGGTTCCACTACCTAGGGCTAATTGTTTGAGGGTTGTTTAGTTCTTTAATGTTATTTTTGTATTTGTTTTAAGTAAGAGTTTGTATTAGGGTTAGGGGATCTGATAATTGTGGTTGATTTTGTTGTTTTTGGTGCTTGGCATCTTAGGCTCTAACGACGTCTAGGGATTGGGAGAGAGAAATCCTCCTCTCGAATTGAGAATCAACTGTATCTTGGTATTTTCCTTCTATTATCTTTGATTATTGCAATAAAACTGCTGTTTTCTGGTTTTTCCTCAGAATTTTGTAGATATTCCCGTTGTTTTTCCAAGATTGATAAGTTTTCACTTGAGATCTTCAAGTTTTCCCTATCAGATGGATGACTATATTTTAGTTCTAAAACCATCAACGAGTTACTATAAACCAAAATCAAATACTTAAGTAAAAATTCAATGACTATTTCTATGCTTAAAGAATTAAAGGTTAAATGACAGTTGTGTATATTTTTACCTCTGAATCCCTTTGAAGCAATGACACAAAGAAAGGAAAAAATTAATAATAATTGGATGTTGCTAGGAAAGGGATGAGGAAATAGCAATTCAAATATTTTGACATAGGATGTAGGATGCAAACATCCCCTTCATTGCAATTTCAGCATGATAGCTTTTTAGTAGTAGTGAAGGCATCTAGATAATTTAGTCCTAGAATGAAACCTCCAAGCAATCATAAGGTGTGGCTTCCATATTTGAAAAAAAAAAGACAAAACTCATGTAATAATAGATACATTGGTTGCAATGCCACAAAGAAAATTGTTTCAAATATAATTGTTCTCTGATGGTTGATGGATATTTCGTAATAAGAAAAGTTTAGCAAACTTTTGGTTAATTGTCCAAGAGGAATCACATTTATAGAGTCAATTGATATTAACTCTTATTCAAAGAATGTCCTGAAGATCTTTAAATTGTTAAACAAGTATATCAAAGAAGCTGGACCACATAATGTTATTCAAATAGTTACTGATACTATCATAGAAAATGTTCTTGCTTGTATTTCACTCATAGCTACACTACATTATATTTATTATGCAACACCTTTATATATTTCATTAGAATAATTTAGTTATTCATTGATGAATGTTTCACAATATTGTTGTAGGAAAGTTATTGATAAATAAGTGTCCACATTTTTATTCAAATTCATGTGTAGCTCATTATTTGGATTAGATAATGTAAGATAACTTTAAAATTTAAAAATTAAGAAAATGCTTTAAAATAGTGGTGATCGTGCATAGTTTAATTTATTCAAGACTATGATGATATGACTTGATGAGAAGATTTACTAAGCAAAGATCAACAATGAAAATTGATTAATACTTGGCTTGCCACTGC